CTTTGTTCATGGGAAACCGTCTAGCTTATACGTTGTGGGCTCATCATATAGATAAAGTAATCGATGGACTCAATGAAGGATTGACAAGTCCACCAAAAGGAACCAAACAAGACATTGTTAATTCCACGATTAATTCTTCGTACATCTGGAAAGATTGCACTGTGTTGCGTTTAACAAAAAACATGCGACTGCAATCAATGATTGGAGATAGTAGTTACGATCATTTAGTTGAATTCGCTGAATGGATTGCAAGTATTGGCGATGGAGTTGTGGGAGATGAGCATGATGGCTATGCAGAAGTAACAATACCTGATGACATGTTGCTTCCATCCTCGGGAAATCCTATAGCTACTATAGTGAATTCCATCTATCCAGATTTTCATAAAATAGCAAATGATCCAACCTATTTGCAGGACCGTGCAATTTGGGCTCCAACGTTGGATGTCGTCGATTCTATAAATGAATATATGACATTGATGAATCCCAATGAGGAATCACACACTTATCTTAGTTCCGACAAGGTTGAGAACTCGGACTCTATTTCGAATTTCTTTAACGACTTGCATCCTCCTGAGTTCTTGAATAAGATTCGTGCTTCCGGGGTACCAAATCATGAGCTCATTTTGAAGGTAGGCACCCCGATTATGTTACTAAGAAACATTGATCATTCGATGAGTTTGTGTAATGGTACTCGATTGATAGTAACTCGATTAGCTAATCACTCGATCCAAGGAAAGATTTTATCTCGAAGACACATGAGTCAAGAAGTTGTTATTCCAAGACTATCACTAACACCATCTGATGCAAGAATACCATTCAAGTTTCAAAGAAGATAATTCCCCGTGGTTACTTCTTATGCAATGACAATTAATAAGAGTCAAGGCCAATCTTTAAAACACGTGGGATTATTGTTACGTAAACCCGTATTTAGTCATGGACAATTATATATTGCGGTTTCAAGGGTAACAAATTGTAATGGCCTGAAGATTCTTATTTGCAACGCAGAGGATGTCTCAACAAAATGTACCACAAATGTAGTTTATAAAGAGGTTTTTCAAAATTTGTAATTTATAGATACTTTGCAATACTAAAAAAATATTATATTTCATTATATGTTGTATTTTTTTTCCTTTTATAATGATACCAATGTAAATTCAAAACGTAATTGCGACCCGTGCAACCCACGGGTGTGATACTAGTTTCTATTAAACTAAAGTTATTTTTAGATCATTTTATATTCAAAACTTATGTAGAATTAAAAAAATTACATATTTAAAGATTAAATCAAAAGATCTACAAAAGTAGTGGTGACATGATCATATTATATTATCAAATAACTAAGAAAAAAAATTAAATTAAATAAAATTTGACCATGTGAATAATATATAGACTACCTAATTTGAGACAGATAAAGTAGTATTTTATCAAAACATTATTGAATAATGAAAAATAAGTAAATAAAGTGTTTAAAATTTGATCTTGTGAATATTATTGGATAATGCTATTTGTACCCCATTTTGTACACCGCATGGATGCACCAACATTTTGTGTTGGTGTAATGCTACTTTTTGTTAACACACCAACACTTTGTGTCAGTGTAAATTTTTGTTAACGTACCAACACTTTGTGTCAGTGTGAAACATCAAAATGTTGGTGCATACCTTTGGTGTACATGCAGCATGCTCAGCTCATATTATATTTCCTAGAGATAAATAGTCCAAGTTTGACTAAAACATTGAAAATATACCAAAATAGGACTTCCATGATTTTATTTGCGAAATAGGACTTACATTACCATACATGATCATATACATTACCAAAAAAAGTATAGTAATTTGCACATGCACACTGCCACATTACAACATGGCAAAATCACATTACCACAGTGCAAAGTTCTATTTCAAAAAAATTTGAAAGCCCTATTTTGAAACTTTTCTCTATGTTTTAGTCCTATTTAATGTAATTTCTAATCTTAAGACCTACTCGGGGCCTCGGGGGTATTTGATTGATTCACTCCTAGAGAGTTGGCCAAACATATCAGCCCCAACGTGAGGTCAAACTGTGGTCCTTTTTAACTGTGAAATTATAAAAAAATATATTTAATTATAATAAAATTTAGTAAAATTGAGTTTATTTTAAAATATAATTTTAAAATATTAAATTTTTATAATATTTAATTATTTTGAACTATATATTTAATTCAGTCAAAAGGTGCCTGAGTTTAACCAAAAAAATTAAACTTTTTCAATCTGTTAGGACCGGAGGGAATACTAAACTTTAGAGTTTATTGAACCGATATCCGTGTGGTTTGCTTTTTGTGCACTGTTAACTAATAAAATTTCGCTCCCCTCCAGAGTTTAAAATCACACATCAATGTCCCCTCTAGACGGTAATATCATTTATAAACCGATTGACTTAATTTAAACTAATATCCCTTCAATATCAAACTCCTTTCGTCTAATAAAAAGGCCTCCTGATTAAATTTGGCACAAAGTTTAAAAAAATTGAAATTGTTTGGTTAAAAATAATGTAGAGGAAAGAGGAAAATGCTCAAAATTTGCTAAAAATGGAAAGAAGAATCTTTGTTTGAGACAACTTGCAAAGAAAATGAAGGATTTTTTTAGGTATACAGGCAGTATGCCAGCATATTTTAAGATACTTCTTAATATAAACCGTATTGATTTCCACTCAACTACCACTAGATTTTCTAACAATTTTCCAACCTTTTTTAATTTCTCTTCAAATAAATGTAGTTTTTTAAAGTACGTTTGCGAAATTTCCCCGATCACATTTTCTTCTTGATAGGTGGGTATCTGAACTCGTAATTCACCCGATCCTGGACACTTGCTCAGGGAATTTCAAATTGGCTCTGGGCATAACTCAGTGAGTCCAAATGAGGCGCATGTAAAGAAGAATTTGTTCAAACAATTATCTTAAGGGTAAAACTATCTCTACCCAAGGATTTGTACCTCATTTTGTACACCGCAGGGATGCACCAACATTTTGTGTTGGTGTAATGCTAATTTTTGTTAATGCACCAACACTTTGTGTCAGTGTAAATTTTTGTTAACGCATCAACACTTTGTATCAGTGTGAACCATCAAAATGTTGGTGCATACCATTAGTGTACGAATGAGATACAAATTTTGGGTGCATGTAGCATGCTCCTTATCTTAATTGTTTCAACATGGTAATTGAGGTGTGCATTAAAAAATGGTAATTCTTTCAACATGATAAATGGTGGTTGGATGGTTGCACGTGAAATGGTTTGAATCTTCTTCATAGGGAGGGAGGGGGTGCACAAGTCAGTGCACATATAATAGTCTTCCTCCGCCTATATATATGGAAGAGGCTATCTATATATACCATGAGTCCATGACCATCCATTACCATGATTTATCACACCATACAAAAGAATTGAAAAAGAAGAAAAAAAAAGTGGAACGTCCATTCTTGGGACTCTCACATTCCGGCGGCAGTGAAAGGATAAATCACGTTATAATCTTAATGTGAATTTTAGAGAGGCCATCTTGCACCTGGTTTAACGAATTCCCTAATGACTTCGTACCTCTTCGAATGAGTTGAACATAGTTCAAAGAACAACGAATAGTTCAACTGAATGAGTTGAACGTTCAACAAACAACTCATTTGAAACGAATCGTTACACTCTAACCACTTCCCACCAATCCCTATACGAACGAAAACGTGATGCACACAATGAGCTATCACGTTGGATAAAACTATCACAAACTCTCGTACGTTTTCCTAGACTTGGGCCAAAATAGTCTTGAGAAATGACTGCAGAATAGAATAGAAAGAGTGAGGAGGAGGAAAATGGATGATGGTACACATACACACACTAGCTATTACATGCTGTGTTGTCTGTGTACCCTTTTGACTCTAAGGAGAGCAAACATATAATCTGTACCTTCACGTTTAATTAGCTTTTTCTTTCTTTTTAGTTTTTACCCATTTCCCTCCCTGCACTTAATTGTTTGTCTCCAACAGTTTCGTCGAGTTGTTGACAAATCCCTGCGGCACTGCTTGCATGCAGCCTTATCTAAAAAAACTCATTATTTAGACATTTCCAAAAAAGACTTCTTTTTTCAACTTTTTGATAAACTTTTTATCCAAATAACTTCAAATATAACTAAAACATAGAAAAAAATACCAAAATAGGAATTTCATGTTTTTATTCCTGAAATAGGACTTCGCACTGTGCTAATATAGTTGTAATGTGGCACTGTACATGTGCACGTTATTATACTTTTTAGTAATGTATATGACTATGTTTGGTAATGTAAATGCATTTTAACTTCTATTTCAAAAAAAGGAAATCCTATTTTGATATATTTTCAATGTTTTACTCCTAATTTAGCCTTTTTTCCAATTTTCTATAGCTCACAATTGTTGACTCCCTCTTATGTCCCCGCATCATTTTTAGTCACACAATTTTACTTTTCTTAAATTTTGTGTAAATTGCCAATTAAAGAAGCTTATTTTGGAATGGAGGGAGTATTAAAATAGGACTATACTATTGTTATTTGTTTTCGAACCAAACTACGGAGTGTATATGGTACAACCGACTGTACCTAGTACTCATTCTGAAGTAAGTAGTACTCATTCTCAAATATATATAAACGTTCATTTTGAAATATGTAGTACTCATTTTAAAATAATGTAGTACTCATTTTTATATATTTGTTTAATAATTCATTCTCTAACTCCCTATTTTCTTCAAATTTGTCAGAAAAGTATAATCCTACCTCCATATCCCTATCCGAGATCCTCACCTCATCCCACATCCTCCCCACGCATCACCTTCATCATCAATTGCCGCCACCACATTCAACTTCTATTGCCAATTGTTAAATATATTCTTACTATATTTAATATTAATGTATATTGTAGCTACCATATTTGTATAGGGTGTATTAATTATTGTTTCCTATTGTCATTAGGAAACTCTTGCATATATACACATGTAATCTCTCATAATAATTCAATAGAAAATATTCATTCTTCATGGTATCGGAGCCCTAATCTTTTACGGCTTCCCTTCCCCTTCTCCTTCTTGAGTTTCGGCCAAGCCCCCAACCCCCCTCCCTCGTCGGATTCTTCTTCCCCCGGCAACCATGGCCGACTCCGCCTCATCTGGCAAAGTCACCAACAACAACGAAACCTCTTCTCCAAATAATTCTCCTCATCTTGCCTTCACCACCATCTCCAACATCGAACTTCATATCCCGGTTCAACTCAGTCTCTCAGAACCAAATTATAAAAAGTGGAGTCGATTATTTCGTCTCTTGATCCTCCGCTTCAATCTCAAGGGTTTCATCGACGGCACGACCATAGCCTCCTCCGCAGACGATGCTGAATGGTATCAATTTGATGCCTTAATTCAGGGATGGATCCTGTCCACAATCACTGATGAAGTCTCCGATCTTGTGCTTGCCAACAATCTCTCTGCTCATGCCCCATGGAAGGCAATCTACAATCTTTTTCACGACAATAAGCATGCCCGGGCGATGCAACTGGAGCATCGTTTCCGTACAACTGTGAAGGGGCAACTCTCCATCGACGAATATTGTCGCCTTCTCAAGAACCTCTCCGAGTATCTTGATGATGTGGATGCTCCTGTCACCGAACATGCCCTCGTCCTCCAAGTTCTTCAAGGTCTCCCTCACGACATCCGAGGTCAAGTTCAATTCCTACAATATCAAAATCCACTCCCGATGTTCTTGGAGGTTCGGTCCGCATTACTCCTCGTTGAACAGCAGCACAACGACGCCGTCTATGCCGCCGGCGCGCCGTCCACATCCCTACTCAGCACCGGCGGCGGCGACAATTATGCGGGCAGCGGACACCGGCAGGACCGAGGCAGCGGCTACGGCGGTTCTGGGAGCAGCGGCAGCGGCGGCGGACATGGCGGTGGCTCCGGCGGACGCGGCAGGAACTTCGGCAGTGGCAGTGGAGGCGGCAACCGCGCCAGAGGTTGCGGCGGCGGTCGAGGTCGTGGCGGCGGCAGCAACCAGCGGCAACCCTCAGGCCCAAATCCCTGGACATTCCCCTCCCCGTCCCCCGGGTTACTTGGGCCTCGGCCCTACCCGCCCCACCCCCTAGC